TCTGATATAACTTCACTTATCCTGAAGTAACTTCACTTATCCTGAAGTAACTTCACTTATTCTGATATAACTTCACTTATTCTGATATAACTTTATTATCTGGTAAAGTTTAAGTTTTTATTAATTTACATATTAATTCAATTTCTGTTAAGTTGAAAGTTGATTGAAATTGGATAATTTCTTATGTATATTTTAGTAACAGATGTAATGAGTTTAATTTATTAGTCGGAAGCAAAATGTATTCACTTTTCAACTAAATTAAAATCGTTGTTGAAATTCATCACATTTATTTATTTAATTTCATACATTGCGTGTATTGAGTTGAAAATTTTCAAAAATACTTACATGTTTACTTGTTCATAACATAAATTTCCTGAGACGACAGTTAGTCAATTTCTCGATCAGACGTACGAATGGTCCTGCTCCCCATTACCTTTTTCGAACTGAATACCGAATGTCAGATCAATCACCTCCCAGTCTTGACTGATGTATGATAACAGTTAATATGGCTTGCAAGTGTTTTAGTAACTTCTTAAGGTGCCCGTCCTCTGTAGTGCACTCTAAGCCCCCAGTAACCCTATCACGTGTTTTAATATTTACTAGTTCAGACAAACTGAGGCTTCATTCAAAACTCTGTTGGGTCTTGAATTATTTAAGTACCTCTTAGCCTCTTTATCAAACTTTGAGCCTTTAGGAGTAAAATAAACTTCCTTCAGTATTTACCTTTTGGCAACTTACTGTAGTTTGGGGAGAATATCATCTGAAAATTCTGCCTCCATTAATCACTGGCTGGAAACTGGACACCAAAGACTTAACATTCATAAGTTATAGTAGAGTCTCCGGGCAATATGAGAACCATTTTGCGCACATATTTTTTTCTTTTATCGTAGATTGATTGGCTCTCACTGATCCCTTCTTTCACCTCACCTCCAGATGAAAACAAAACCCTCAAATACTCTTATGGTGAAGTGTTCTCCTATGATTCACGGCGTTTTATAGATGGTTACCAAAATGGGTCGAACTTGTACCGTAACTTAATGTGATGTTTGTTCTCACTTAGGTAGAAAATTGACCTAAGATGTCAGATTTTTTGCCTTAAAGCTGTGAGGCGTGCGGCAACAGCTGTGTGTGGTGAGTACAGCTGTGTGTGAGGTGAGTACAGCTGTGTGTGGTGAATACAACAGCTGTGTGTGATGAATACAACAGCTGTGGGTGGTGAGTACAACAGCTGTGGGTGGGAGTACAGCTGTGTGTGGCGAGTACAGCTGTGTGTGGGAGTACAGCTGTGTGTGTAGTACAGCTGTGTGTGGTGAGTACAGCAGCTGTGTGTGTGAGTGGTACAACAGTTGTGTGTGGTGAGTGCAGCTGTGTGTGGTGAGTACAACAGCTGTGTGTGGTGAGTACAGCTGTGTGTGGTGAGTACAACAGCGATGTGTGTGGTGATACAACAGCTGTGTGTGGTGAGTACAGCTGTGTGTGGTGAGTACAACAGTTGTGAGGGGTGAGAGTACAGCTGTGTGTGGTAGGGCACAGCTGTGTGTGTGAGTGCAACAGCTGTGGGTGGTAGTGCAACAGCTGTGAGGTGATGGTAAGCTGTGTGTGGTGAGCACAGCAGCTGTGGTGTGAAGTACAGCTGTGTGTGGTAGGCACACAACAGCAGTTAGTGAAGTACAGCTGTGTGTGGTGAGTACAGCTGTGTGTGGTGAGTACTACAGCTGTGAGTGTTGAGTAAAGCTGTGTGTGGTTGAGTACAACAGCTGTGGTGATGAGTACAGCTAGTGTGTGGTGAGTACAACAGCTGTGGTGGTGAGTACAACAGCTGTGAGTGATGAGTACAGCTGTGTTGTGAGAGTACAACAGCTGTGAGTGATGAGTACAGCTGTGTGGTAGGTTCAACAGCTGTGGGTGGTGAGTACAACAGCTGTGTGTGGTGAGTACAGCTGTGTGTGGGACCAGCTTGGGTGGTGGTACACAGCTTTGGTAGAGTAGCAAATTGTGTGGTGAGTACACTGTGTGGTGAGTACAGCTGTGGTGGTGAGTACAACAGCTGTGGTGATGACTACGGCTGTGTGTGGTGAGTACAACAGCTGTGGGTGGTGCTACAACCATGTGTGGTGAGTACAACCGTGTGTGGTACAGCTGTGTGTGGTACAACAGTTGTGGTGATGAGTACAGCTGTGGTGATGAGTACAGCTGTGTGTGTGGTGAGTACAGCTGTGTGGTGAGTACAGCATGTGTGTGGTGATACAGCTGTGTGTGGTGAGTACAGCATCTGTGTGTGGTGTTGTACAGCATCTGTGTGTGGTGTTGTACAGCTGTGAGTGATGAGTACAGCTGTGTGTGGTGAGTACAACAACTGTGTGTGTGGTGAGTACAACAGTTGTGTGTGGTGAGTACAGCTGTGTGTGGTGAGTACACTGTGTGTGTGAGTACAGCTGTGTGTGGTGAGTACAACAGCTGTGTGTGTGTTAGTACAACAGTTGTGTGTGGTGAGTACAGCTGTTTGTGGTGAGTACAACAGGTGTGTGAGTACAGCTGTGTGTTGTGAGTACAACAGCTGTGTGTGGTGAGTACAGCTGTGTGTGTGAGTACAACAGCTGTGTGTGGTGAGCACAGCTGTGTGTGGTAAATACAACAGTTGTGAGTGGGTGAGTACAGCTGTGTGTGGTGAGTACAGCTGTGTGTGTGGTGGTGCAATAGCTGTGGGTGGTGAGTACAACAGCTGTGAGTGATGAGTACAGCTTGTGTGTGTGGTGAGTACAACAGCTGTGTGTGGTGAGAATACAGCTGTGTGTATTGAGTACAACAGCTGTGGTGATGAGTACAACAGCTGTGGGTGGTGAGTACAGCTGTGTGTGGTGAGTACAGCTGTGTGTGGTGAGTACAGCTGTGTGTGTCAATACAGCTGTGTGTGGTGAGTACACGCTAGTGGCAAGCTGTGTGTGGGAGTACAACAGCTGTGAGTGATGAGTACAGCTTGTGTGTGGTGAGTACAGCTGTGTGTGGTGAGCACAACAGCTGTGGGTGGTGAGTACAGCTGTGTGTGTGTGCAGCGTGTGTGGTGATTACAACAGCTGTGGGTGGTAGACAACAGCTGTGGTGATGAGTACAGCTGTGTGTGGTGAGTACAACAGCTGTGGGTGGTGAGTACAACAGCTGTGAGTGATGAAGTACAGCGTGTGTTAATGGTACAACAGCTGTGAGTGATGAAGCAACTGTGTGTGGTGAGTACATCAGCTGTGGGTGGTGAGTACAACAGCTGTGTGTGTTGAGTACAGCAGTGTGTGGTAGTACAGCTGTGGGTGGTGAGTACAACAGCTTTGAATGATGAGTACAGCTGTGTGTGGTGAGTACAACAGCTGTGAGTGATGAGTACAGCTGTGTGTGGTGAGTACAACAGCTGTGGGTGAGTGACTAACCGTGTGTGGTGAGTACAGCTGTGTGTGGTGAGTACAGCTGTGGGTGGTGAGAGCAACAGCTGTGAGTGGTGTACAACAGTTGTGAGTGGTGAGTACAGCTGTGTGTGGTGAGTACAACAGTTGTGTGTGGTGAGTACAGCTGTATGTGGTGAGTACAGCATCTGTGTGTGATGTACAACAGCTGGTGATGAGTACAGCTGTGTGTGGTGAGTACAACAGCTGTGTGTGGTGATTACAGCTGTGTGTGAGTGAGTACAACAGCTGTGAGTTGTGGTACAGCTGTGTGAGTGAGTAGAACAGTTGTGAGTGGTGAGTACAGCTGTGTGGTGAGTACAACAGCTGTGTGTGGTGAGTACAACAGTTGTGAAGGTGAAGATACAGCTGTGTGTGGTAGTACAACAGCTGTGTCTGGTGAGTACAGCTGTGTGTGGTGAGTACAGCTGTGTGTGGTGAATACAACAGTTTTGTGTGTGAGTACAGCTGTGTGTGGTGAGTACAGCTGTGTGTGGTGGTACAGCTGTGTGTGGTGAAATACAACAGTTGTGAGTTTTGAATTACAGCTGTGTGTGGTGAGTACAACAGCTGTATGTGGTGAGTAGAGCTGTGTGTGGTGAGTCACAACAGCTGTGTGTGGTGAGAGTACAGCTGTGTGTGGTGAATACAACAGTTGTGAGTGGTGAGTACAGCTGTGTGTGGTGAGTACAACAGCTGTATGTGGTGAGAACACAGCTGTGTGTGGTGAGATACAGCTGTGTGTGGTGAGTACAGCTGTGTGTGATGAAGTACAGCTGTGTGTGGTGAGTAACAGCTGTGTGTGGTGAGAGTACAGCTGTGTGTGGTGAGTACAGCTGTGTGTGGTGAGTACAGCTGTGTGTGGTGATACAGCTGTGTGTGGTGGAATACAACAGTTGTGAGTGATGAGTACAGCTGTGTGTGGTGAGTACAGCTCTGTGGTGAGAGTACAGCTGTGTGTGTGAGACAACAGCTGTGTGTGGCAGGACAACAGCTGTGTGTGGTGAGGACCGTCGACATAACTGGTGTCACCACTTGGTCTAACAAACTGGCTAAGTTGGGTGTGTGTGTTTACTTATTAAGAGAAGCGAGTGGAGTTGTGTGTCGACACCCACTCTCGTTTGTCACCTAGTGTGTGTAGGAGGAGTTTTGGGTCTGGTGTGTGGGGACTATTGGGTCACCGGTGTGTGGGGGACTATTGGGTCACCCGGTGTGTGGGGACTATTGGGTCACCCGGTGTGTGGGGATTATTGGGTCACCCGGTGTGTGGGGACTATTGGGTCACCCGGTGTGTGGGGGACTATTGGGTCACCCGGTGTGTGGGGACTATTGGGTCACCCGGTGTGTGGGGACTGGATCACCGGGTGTTTGGGGGACTTCTGGATCACCGAGTGTGTGGGGGACTATTGGGTCACCCGGTGTGTGGGGACTGGATCACCGGGTGTGTGGGGGACTTCTGGGTCACCGGGTGTGGGGGACTTCTGGGTCACCGGGTGTGTGGGGACTTCTGGATCACCGGGTGTGTGGGGACACCTGGGTCACCGGTGTGTGGGGACTCTGGGTCACCGGATGTGTGGGGACTCTGGATCACCGGGTGTGTGGGGACTGGATCACCGGGTGTGTGGGGGACTTCTGGATCACCGTGTGTGGGGACTTCTGGGTCTGATGTGTGGGGACTTCTGGATCACCGGGTGTGGGGGACTTCTGGATCACGGGTGTGTGGGGGACTTCTGGATCACCGGGTGTGTGGGGGACTTCTGGATCACCGGGTGTGTGGGGACTTCTGGGTCACTGGGTGTGTGGGGACTTCTGGATCACCGGGTGTGTGGGGACTTCTGGATCACCGGGTGTGGGGACTTCTGGATCACCGGGTGTGTGGGGGACTTCTGGATCACCGGGTGTGTGGGGGACCTGGGTCACTGGGTGTGTGGGGGACTTCTGGATCACCGGGTGTGTGGGGACTTCTGGATCACCGGGTGTGTGGGGGACTTCTGGATCACCGGGTGTGTGGGGGACTTCTGGGTCACCAGGTGTGTGGGGACTTCTGGATCACCGGGTGTGTGGGGACTTCTGGGTCACCGGGTGTGTGGGGACTTCTGGGTCACCGGGTGTGTGGGGACTTCTGGATCACCGGGTGTGTGGGGGACTTCTGGATCACCGGGGTGTGTGGGGGACTTCTGGATCACCGGGTGTGTGGGGACTCTGGGTCACCGGGTGTGTGGGGACTCTGGGTCACCGGGTGTGTGGGGACTTCTGGATCACCGGGTGTGTGGGGACTTCTGGATCACCGGGTGTGTGGGGGACTCTGGGTCACCGGGTGTGTGGGGACTTCTGGATCACCGGGTGTGTGGGGACTTCTGGGTCACCAGGGTGTGTGGGGACTTCTGGATCACCGGGTGTGTGGGGACTTCTGGGTCACCGGTGTGTGGGGACTTCTGGGTCACCGGGTGTGTGGGGACTTCTGGATCACCAGGTGTGTGGGGACTTCTGGGTCACTGGGTGTGTGGGGGACTTCTGGATCACCGGGTGTGTGGGGGACTTCTGGGTCACCGGGTGTGTGGGGGACTATTGAGTCACCGGGTGTGTGGGGGACTTCTGGGTCACTGGGTGTGTGTGGAGGGGGACTTGTGGTGTTGCTTGGTGTATGAAAACTTAATAATAATAATAATAATAATAATAATAATAATAATAATAATAATAATAATAATAATAATAATAATAATAATAATAATAATAATAATAATAATAATAATAATAATAATAATAATAATAATAATAATGACCGGTTTATTGAAAAGGTAAAGCAGCCGAAAGATTGAAAATATACATTGGACAGAAATGACTTATTACATACAAAGACACGGGATGGGTGGGTCCTTAACAAAATCTTTCATTACTAAAAGGAGAAGGAACATGAAATGAACATACAAATTATAGTTTACAGTTAATGGCCGGGGCTGGTCTCTTGATCTATTGTGTGAGGTCCGTAGGCCACGTGGTGCAGTAACTCTTCCTTAGGTTTTAACATGAAGGACCTCCCGTGGTCATGGAGACCGTGTGGTGTGGTGTTACAGTGAGATACCATGTGATGTGGTTTCACAGTACCTCACTCTTTGCTAAGTAATGTTGCGGTATCTCATGGTCAGGTGTTAAACCGACCCATGGTTGTTCCCAGGGTGGACTGGTTAACACTATGCCGCCTGGTAAGATGATCATGGCCAGTTCCCAAGAGTACTTATCTCTGGATGGTTGGATCTCACTGGCGGGTGTGACGGTTAAGTTGGTTACGACTCTAGGCTGCCACTGTCTAGGGCCGACGTCACTGATTCCACTCATTTCTAAAACGAAATTGTCACTTTTAGCGGGATTTTATTGACATCCCGATGGGTATGAGAGGAAGGAGTTGGGGCTATGGGCAACATGGCCCTGGCAACAGGCACAGCAGCAGCAGCGCCGAATAGGTCTTGACCCTCCGGTGGGTCGCTCTATATGGAGGGAACTTGTGGGTTGCTGGGTGTGGGGGAACTTGTGGGTTGTTGGGTGGGGAAACTTAGGTTGCTGGGTGGGGAAACTTGTGGGTTGTTGGGTGGGGGAAACGCGTGGGTTGCTGGATGGGGAACCAGTGGCTGCTGGGTGGGGAACTTGTGGGTCAGTTGGACGTGGGGAACTAGTGGCCGCTGGGCGTGGGGAATTGTGGCTGCTGACGTGGGAACCAGTGGGCTGCTGGCGTGGGGAAATTTGTGGGCTGGCTGGACGTGGGGAACTAGTGGGTTGCTGGATGGGGAAACTTGTGGGCTTGCTGGATGGGAACTTGTGGGTTGCTGGGGTGTGGGGGAACTTGTGGGTTGTTGGGTGTGGGGAAACGTGGGTTGCTGGATGGGGGAACTAGTGCTGGGTGTGGGAAACTTGTGGGTTGCTGGACGTGGGGAACCAGGGTTGCTGACGGGGAACTTGTGGGCTGCTGGACGTGGGGAAACTTGTGGGTTGCTAGGTGTGGGGAACTTTTGGTCATTGAGTGCGTGGAAGGTGGGTCGTTGACGTGGGGAACTTTGGGGGCAGCTTGGTTGTGGGGGAACTAGTGGGTTGCTAGGTGTGTGGGGAAACTTTTGGTTGTTGAGTGTGGGAAGTTGTGGGTCGTTGGATGTGGGGAAACTTGTGGGTAGCTGGATGTTGGGGAACTTGTGGATCGCTGGATGTGGGGGAGCGTGTGGGTCGCTGGGTGTGGGAGAACTAGTGGGTCGCTGAGTGTGGGGGAACTTGTGGGTCGCTGGATGTGGGGGAACTTGTGGGTTGCTGGATGTGGGGAAACTTGTGGGTAGCTTGGTGTGGGGGAACTTGTGGGTTGCTGAGTGTGGGAACTTGAGACATTTATAGGTCACCTACCGGCACGTTTTTTCTCTCTCTTATTTTGGTTACTTTATAGAGAATGAATAAAGTTTTTAAATAAAAAGCAACAAAAGAATTTTTTTTTATCAAGAGGCACAGTAACATACAAGCTACTGTTGTGCAGTTGCCGATTAAAACTTTATTTGTGTTAATATCTGTATGAATTAAATAATAAGTTATTGGAAACATAATAATCTAAAATAATTATACATTCCTGATGAACCTTAGTCTGGTGGTGACCAATCGCCTTTACCATGAAAATTTGTTTTAAGAAAAAGTAATGACGTAATGCCTCACGTGACGTTGCACCCAGTTCGGCGGTGTTACACCCTTGAACCAACAGCCTCTCTTTTTATATTAATTTTGAAAAACTGGTTCCATAATTTAACGACGTAATAACAATATGCAAATGCAATTCTCGTTCTTCAAAAAAAGGGGGGGGCGGGGGTAATCTAAATACAGGCAGAGTGTGTGAAAAGAAAAAGTGTATTCGTAGATAAAATGAGACTTGAACTTGTCGCTGAGTAGTTCCTTAATTGCGTGTTATTGTCACTGAGCGCTGGGCCACTCGTCAAACCCTCTTGGCAATGATAATGTTTTTTGAAATGCTCGATTAGTGCCCATTGTGGACTACAGTAGTTTGTGTTCATTATCTGCATCTATGTACTGCTAATGACGTCCACAAAACGAATACTGGCCTACATATCCCTCCAGTATCGTCTGTTTTATAGAAAACTCGGTTTTCGTTAACAATAAGTAAGAAAGTTGAGAGTTTACGTGGTGTTGTTGGTGGTGAATGCGGCCAGCCAACTTGTTCATGAATATGTCATCACAACAACCACAATCTATGATTTAGAATCCCAGCAGCAGCAGATAAGGAAGTTTTATTCTGAGACACAGAGTCTAACCGAGGAATACACTGGGAGGGAGAGAATACTCGAGACTGAGTCACCGCTGCGTTATAACCCCGCCAACAATTTGTCTTTCTTTGATAATTTGTGTATTTTTGTTGCAAAGGATTTCAGAAGTAATTGTTTTTATTGCGTACAATACGATCCTTTTTTCTCCGTCTGTTTTGCGAAAATTCCACTAATCCGGAAGTGCTTGGTCAGGACCCCTTTCGGCTTAACGGGATTTAACTGTATTAACGGACTTTAAACGTGTGAGTCTCACGTAGGTATTTATCCCTCGAAGTTGTCTTGAAGGTAACTCCCTGTATATCAGACGCTCAGGATTCTCAGAGGCTCGTAAGGTGGATGGATCCTTTTAATGAGGAATATAGAAAGCAGGTAATTACAGCGGGGTTCAGTTTGTGTCTTGCTTCATTATGCCCTCATAGCTAATACACATACGCCCTCAACCCACCCTCATCCCACCTTGCCACCCCATCCTACCACCTGTCCTCACCCAAACTTACTACCACCCTCGCCCCACACACCCTACACACCCACACACCCTACACACCCACACACCCCGCAAGCAGTCAGTCATTGCGCCGTGTGCGTGCGCCTGTTGCCACTGAATAAGTCATGGAGGGCAGGGGTTAAAAATTCACAGCACATCGGTGAACTCTAAACTTTGGCGACCCCACAACCACCGCCACCAGATATTAAAGTCTCCCCAGTGACGTTTTCTCATGCCGTGCCACGGGAGGTAATGTCGAGGGAAGGATGACTTTTGGCTGTGTCTGTGCCTTTGGTTCTGTGTGGTTTGTGATATTTTTGTCTGTTTACGTATATGGCACGTCTCTCTTATAGCCATTACCTCCTGCCTCACCCAGTTCCCTCCTCCCTCCTCCCTTACCCTGCCGTTCCTCCTCCCTCGCTCCCTCCCTCCCCTCCTCCTCCTTGCCTACCGTTCCTCCTCCCTCCCTCTTACTTACCCTGCCGTTCCTCCCTCCCTCCCTCCTCCTCCCTCCTTACTTACACTGCCGTTCCCCCCTCCCCCTCCTCCCTCCCTCCCTGGTTTGGATTTTCCATTGTTTTTCGTAATTATTTACCCTTTCTATTTCCCGTCTAGTGTTGCCGACCTGTAAACTCTCGTGATTTTCCTCGATGTGTTGTTATTTGAGTGATGACATCTGCATTCATAATATCTTCGTTTCCTATTCCAGTCGGAAGCGGAGTGTCACTTGTGTAGATGATATATAGGGTGGGAGAGAGGACGCTGCCCTTAGTGGGAAGGTCTCTCCTGTGTTATCCCACCCTCAGTCTGGCATTTCTGCGGTCAAGAAAGTTGCAAAGCAGCTTTTCGATGTTGGCGGGAAGTTTGAGTTGGAGGATCTTATATTTTAGACCTCCAAGCCAGACTTTGTCAAACGCCTTCGCTACATCCCGGAGAGTTAGATTACATTGGCTACCACTCGCTGTGGCTCTGGCTATGTTCGCACATGCCAGGGCTATCACTATTGAGGTGGACTTCCCTTTCCTGAACCAAATTGCCTGCAGTTGATTCTGTTGGCTGTTTCCAGGTGATTTCTCAGGTACTTCGAGGAGGGAGATCGGTCTATAATTTAGTGGGACGGCGGGGTTCTTTTCTTGTTTTGGTGTTAAGGTAATAATGGCCTCTTTGAATTTAGTTAGGAAGTAACCCGAGGCCAGGCAGGCGTTCATTGTGGTTCTCAGTCTCTCCTTGGCCGGGTGATTTATGTGGCTGAGGATCTCCTTGGTGATGCCCGAGTAGCCAGGGGCTTTATTTTTGGTGTTGGAGATGGCTGTATTGAGTTCTTCCGATGTGATTGGTTTGGACAATGGACTGTCCTCTCTCAGATCTTCCCAAATGATATCAAGGGAAGGCCGAGTGCGGTGTGTCTGGCCCCGGAGTTCATCAAGGACGAGCTCCTCGTGGGTACCATCAAATCCCCTGTTCTCCTCATTTGTGATTCGGGAGATGTTCCTCCATATATCCCTGTATATGGGTTCTTTGTCTTGATCGTCATATATTTTACTTCATGTGAGGTCAGTTACATATGGTGACTCATTGCTGCTGGAACCTTTCAGACTCTTAACTCGATGCCAGAACTCTCCTGGGTCGTTGTATGTTTGTGAGAATTGTTCAACTATTTCGGCCCATTTGAGGTTTCTTTGTTCCAGAGATCTTGTTTTTATTTCCTCCCGTATTCTTCTGTATGTGTTGTAGCTTACGATGTCTCAACCACGGGTCTCTGTTGTAGCAGTTGGAATTGGTTTGTGAGGGCTATGAGTTCTGGAGTTTGTCGAGGGTGTGTGAGTGCTCTGTTGCGTTTGAGAGGGGTGGCCTCTTGGTAGGTTGTTCCTGTGGCTTCACACCATGTGCTGATTTCTTCGTCTATTTTGTTCACCGGATGGTTGTCTATGGTTTGTAGGTTTGTCGTGTGTTTGGCCTCAAGTTTGGCTGTAGCTTTTTCGTTGAATAGTTTCCAGTTGGTCTGCTTGGCGATCCTCCTTGATGGAGCTGGTATAGTTATTGGTGTTGCTGAGATGGTCATGATTATAAGTAGGTGGTCGGTGGAGGTTACAGGACCTTGTTCAAAGAGGTAGCTGTGGAAGCATCTGCCGTTTGTTATTGCTATATCTGGAGTAGTGGCTGAGTTCCTTCTGTAGAACGTGGGGAAGGCCGGGCCTATTAGCTGAGCTTTTTTGTCCGTTAGGAAGCCATCGAGGCCTCTTCCAACATTGTTAGTTGTCCTCTTACCATCTAGTAGAGGATGTCTGGCGTTCATGTCCCCAATGATGTAGGTTGGGTGTTGGTATGATAGAAGTCCGTAGAAGTCCCCGTAAGGCAGGTAGTCCCTGCGTTTTTTTTTTTTTTACTGGGATTAGCCCACTTGGGCACAGGTCACTGACCCAGTGACCCACATCGGGGCCCGGGGGGGCGAAAATGTAGTAGTAGTACTACTACTACTAATAGTAATAATAATAATAATAATAATAATAATAATAATAATAATAATAATAATAATAATAATAATAATAATAATAATAATAATAATAATAATAATAATAATAATAATAATAATAATAATAATAATAATAATAATAATAATTCATAGTTAATAAAATGTATAATAAAAAAGAAAAGTTAAAATAAAATAAAATAATAATGATAATAATAAAACAACACTGTAATAATAATAATAATGATAATAATAATAATAATAATAAAGAAATACAAAAATTAAACAAAAATAAAAAGTGAGAAACAATAAATATATGTTGTGTTGTCAATATTAAGAGAAACAATTGAGACCCCGCAATTGTGTGTAAATGAGGCAGAGTTTCAGAGGTGAAGTCGTCTGTGATTCTGTGGTGGACATCTCTTTTTTTATGGCGGTAGCCACCCCGTCATTTGGCTCCTCTGATAGGTTGGAATTATGGATCTTGTAACCAAATATTTTCAATTCCTCAGACTACTTTTGGCCGTGTGAGTTTATGAGTATAATATCTGTACTGGTTGTACTGGTTGGACAAACTGAATATATTAGTTCTCCAGGGGAGGACGTTATGTTGCATTATTTTCACTGCCTTACGTAGGGTGTCCATTGTTTCTTGTTCTCGGTTTTCGTGGTGTTTGGTTCTCTGTGCGTCCATCTTTCATAGTGTTGATCTTCCCTTTGGCTGTCTTTCTGATGCAATTTGTGAAATCGATCTATTTTTGTTTCGTGGTATCGAGGATGGTGACGAGTGGGGTGGTGGCGGGGTATAGGGGTGGTGGCAGGTGACGTGGGGGTGGTGGCAGGGAGTAGGGGGCTGGTGGCAGGGAGCCAGGGGAGGGTGACATGGGGGTGGTGGCAGGTGACGTGGGGGTGGTGGCAGGTGGTAGGGGTGTGGTGGCTGGGTGAGGGGTGGTGGCAGGGGAATAGGGAGGGTGGCTTATAGGGGTGGTGGCTGGTGGGGGGGTGACGTGGGGATGGTGGCAGGAGTGTTGGGGAGATGACATAGGGGGTGGTGGCAGGTAGAGGGAGGGAGTGACGTGGGGATGGTGGCAAGTGGAAATTGAGGGTGGTGGCTGGGTAGAGGGGTGGTGGCGGAGTGGGGGAGGGTGACGTGGGATGGTGGTGGCAGGGTAGGGAACAGGCTGTGACAGGTGGGGGAGTGACGTGGGGTTGGTGAGGGGTAGAAGGAAGGTGACGTGGGGTGGTGAGAGATTGAGAGGTGACGTAGTGGGTGGTGGCGGGAGTAGAGGGTGACGTAGTGGGTGGTGGCAGGGGTAGAGGGGTGGTGACAGATGGGATGACGTGGGGGGTTGGTGGCGGGTAGAGGAAGGTGACGTGGGGGGTGTGGCGGGGCAGAGAGATGACGTGGGGTGGCAGGAGTGGAGGAGGTGACGTAGTGGGTGGTGGCGGGGTAGAGGGAGGGTGACGTAGTGGGTGGTGGCGGGGTAGAGGGAGGCTTGATCCTACAGTGCCAAAGTTCACGATCTGAATTCTCAAAACAGGAGTAAATTATAAATCTTCCCTCCCTCACCCACAATGAAACCCCAGTCCCGTCACATCCTGGAGACCCCAGCGCCCTCACACCTAGCCCAGCCCTCCCAGGCCCCCTCCTACCACCCCCTGCCAGCACCCTCTCAAGCATCCCCCAGTTTTACAGGTTATAAGAGAGTGCCCTGAACATAAGAATTGAGGAAACTGCAGCGGGCCTATTGGTCCATATAGGGCAATCCCGTTTACACCCAACCCCTATTGCTCATATAAGCATCCAACCTAGGTTTGAAGCTATCCAGCGTATTCGAGTTAATGATGATATTTGGTAACTTGTTCCATTCATCCACTACTCTGTTACCAAACCAGTGTTTGCCTATTTCGCGCCTAAATCTAAATTTGTCTAATTTAAAACCATTGTTACGAGTTCGCTCTTGGTTGGATAGTTTGAGTACCTTTGTAATATCCCCTTTGTTCAGCCCTGATTTCCATTTATACACCTCTATCAAATCGCCTCTCACTCCACGTCTCTCGAGGGAGTGCAAATTAAGATGCTTTAACCTGTCTCTGTACTCAAGGTTCCAAATGCCCGGGATTAGCCTTGTCATTCTCCTCTGAATTCTTTCCAAGGATTCTATATCCATTCTGTAATAAGGTGACCAGAATTGAACTGCGTAATCCAAGTGAGGTTTCACAAGCGCAAGATATAGTTTTAGGATGACCTCGCTAGTCTTGTAACTAACACTCCTTTGTATGAACCCAAGTACTTTATTAGCCTTGTTTCAAGCAAATACACATTGTTTACTTGGCTTAAGGTTCCTACTTATCATTACTCCTAAATCTCTCTCGCAGTCGGATTTCTCAATGGCATCGTTGTTCATCTGATAAATGGTTCCCCTGTTTACATCTCCTATACTGAGTACTTTACATTTGTCCACGTTGAATTTCATCTGCCATTTTTCCGACCATTCGAAAAATTTTTTTAGATCTTCCTGTAGTTTTGTGGAGTCCTCGTCAGATTTAATAACACGCCCTATTTTGGTGTCATCAACAAATTTACTTATGTTGCTGTCTATGCCGATATCTATGTCGTTCATGTATATAATAAACAATAATGGTCCAAGTACTGAGCCTTGGGGAACTCCACTTGTGACGTTGCTCCAATGGGACTTAGTGCCGTTAATGCTCACTCGCTGTTTCCTGTCCTGTAACCACGCCCTAATCCATTTAAGGATGTTACCTTTGATGCCATGAGCTTCTACCTTTCTAATTAGTCTTTCGTGGGGGACTCTGTCAGAAGCACTAAAATCGAGATATACCACTCATATTGCCCTAGGTCCACCAGTTAAGCAGTGGAAGAATGTTAATAGATTAGTTAGACAAGAACGCCCGCTTGTGAAGCCATGCTGGGAATCATTGATCAATCGGTGCTTCTCCAGGTGATTTGAATAGAGTTTGAAATGATTGCTTCCAGTAATTTGCCTACTATTGATGTTAGACTGATTGGGCGGTAGTTAGAGGATAGTGATCTATCCCCCTTCTTGAAAATCGGTATTACATTCGCTATCCTCCAGGATTCTGGTACTACACCTGTTTTTAAGGACATGTTAAACAACTTTGCTAAGGGCATACTAAGCTCTTCCTTACATTCCTTTAATACTCTGGCAAATATCTCATCGGGACCAGGTGACTTATTAGGCTTTAGTTTGTCTGTTTGCTTACTAACATCGTTACTAGTCACTACTATCTCGCTTAATTTGTTTTCTTCACTATCTCTGAATAGAGTCGGTGCCTCGGGTATCGTGTTTAAGTTTTCGGTGGTGAAAACTAATGAAAAATATTTAATCAGATTATTGCTCATTTCTCCGTCGTTATCAGTTAGCTCGCCGTATTGGTCCAATCTTTTCTCGTGTTTTAGTTTGATACATTTGGTAGAATCCTTTGGGGTTTGTCTTTGCCTCCCTTGCTATCCTTACCTCATTATTCCTCTTGGCCATCCTTATCTCGGTTTTAACCCTACTCACCAATACCCCATAATAATCCCGGAGGTAAATTTCGCCACGATTTATCCTTCTACCTATAGCCTTCCTTTGGCCAATAATGTTCTTTAAATAATTATTTATCCATTTAGGGTCATTGTTGTCTGATCTGAGTTTTTTGTATGGTATGTTCTGCCTTTGTGCATTTAGTAACTCATTATGTAAATTGTCGTGGAACTCGGCAATGTCAGATCTCGTTATCAGGTCGGTGTCAACCGTCAGGTTCGCGGGTGGGGTGAGGTCAATGTGAGTCACCCCCATGCGTGATACCCCTTCCCTCAACTGCCTCTTCAAACCATCAAAGTTTGCCCTTCTGAAATCTGGGACTTTAGTGGAATTTTCGTTTCGTCCGCCCTGAAAATCTAACTGGAATCTAATTTCTTTGTGATCGCTGTTCGCTAGTTCGTTCCCTACCTCGACATTACTAATGAGGTTGTCTCTGTTCGACAGAACTAAATAGAGTATATTATTACCCCGGGTGGGTTCGGTTATATGTTGACTTAGGAAACAGTCCTGGATCGTTTCGAGAAAATCCTCTGATACAAAATATAGGTTTACCTTTCAGTTACAGATACAGTCATTAATGTTTGGTTACAGCAAGGTCAGAATGTTACCTGTATGTGAATGAATTAAGGCATGACCTATTTACCATAATCATGTACTGTACAGTATCTCAAAAACGTCCTATGACTTCCGAAATGCTACATGCAACTCGCGATTTCCCAGGAGGGTTGGTATGCGTGCCCCGGGGGCACACTAATCCTACGACATTTGGTAACAGAACATCATATTATTTACGTTTAAATAAATGCACGTTGTATTACTTATGTTAAACTACCTATATACAGTATACCACAGTACTTACGTGTCCCATTATATATCATCCATGGTCTCATAATGTGTCACACAGAGTGTGGACAGATACTTTTTTTTGAGATACTGTACACCTGATAATGCGACAGATTGCTTCATTGTTATTTCAGGATTCACATTTTCCACACCTAACTTTACCTTACCTTACCTGAC